GCAGGGGCAGCTGCCTCAAACATATAAGCTCCTATAGTTCAGCTGCTACAGTAAAGATGTGCACTAGCTCTGAAGGGGTTTGCCTTGATGTGCTTGAAAGTAATAACAAAGTCCAAGATACAGCACTGCCCTGTTTATTCAAAGGGATGCCAGGCAGTGCCAGGCGAGGGGTGAGGTGAGTTACATCAATCACACTCTTCTTAGAAAGGAATAGATGTTTTGCACATGGACAGTATAAATATAATTCTTAATCCAATGGTGCCCTCAACTTCTGTATTCACTGCAACTTCTTTGTTTGCTGATGCATTTGCCATAATAATCCATCCTGCACTTTATCCTGCCACAAACTCTGCCTGTACTCGCCACATAAGAGCATTTACTACATACCTTTGTTTCCAAGAATTGGACAAAGATCATTAGGAAGCATAATGATGTGCCTTTTCTGTTCACACGGGCACCAACACAGTTCTCATTGCATGTGACAGGACTGTCCCCATAAATGTAAAGAATTCGGGGGGGGAGGAGGGGAGCTTTACAGTCACCCAGTTATGTATATTTTAAGTGATCCCTTGTATGTATTTGCTTATGAATGATCATGTCTTTTTCTATTTCATAAAATAATTTGCTGTCAAATCATGGTACTCATGAACCAGGGTTATCTGAATCTAAATAAAGAACATTGTGATTTTTACTGAAGACACTGGTTATGGAATCTGAGCTCTAAGGGTAGGTCTACACAACAGGACAAGGTTGAATTGATATTTACACAACTTCAGCTACATTAATTGCATAGCTGAAGTCAAAGTACCGTAACTCGACCTTTTGGTGCTGTCCACACTGTAGGAAGTCAAAGGGAGAAGACTCTTCTTTTGACTTCCCTTACTCCTCGTGGAAGCAGGACTATCGGCATTGACCAGCATGCCCATCTCAGTCTGAATTAGCGTGTCTTCACTAGACCCTCTAATTTGAACCCTGGAAGATCAACGGAGGCAGCTTCGATCTTCTCTGTAGTATAAACGTATCTTAAGGGCACTGGGGAGTTATTTCTAAATTTTGAAATAACAAAGCGAGCATCCACACTACTAAACCTGTTATTTTGAAATAACTCCTGCTTGTGAAGAGGAATAAGTTGATTTCAAAATAATTATTTCAAGAGTAATTATTGGAAATAATTTCCCAGTGTGGCCATGCCCTTCTTTTATACGGCATTATTAAGGAGTTATTGCTATCACTAAAATGGTCAGCAGAAACTTAATATTAAAACATCATAATATAGCTCCTTTTTATATTAATTTTGGTAACTTGAATACCTATATGTTGTGACAGTTTCACTCACATTTTTATTAAATGATAATGGTAAACACAAAGACATACCAACTAAAATACTTCCATAGCCTATGGGATGCAAATATAACATAAGGAAACTATCAAATTAAATATTAAATGCACTAAAATAAGAGAAATTAGATATATTGTCCTTCCTAGTGCTTTGGTTTAGGTATTGCTACAGTCAGTGATCATGGGTATATAATAAAGGTTTTCCTCTAGCTGATATCTTATTGTATAGACACTGATATAACTCATCCTGGAGTTCTAGGGGGATTTTCTAAAGAACAATCTATATATTCTTGTAATCTTAGTGGGTTTTGCCCTTTGACCTTTAAGGAGCTGCATAAATTTTTAACAAAATATTCTAACAGTCATTTAAAAAAATAGTGTTATTTAAAGCAATTGTAAACATGGCCCAAAACCACACAGTCATTGTTGGGATATTTTTCACATGCAATCTTTATTGTTCTATTTATACTGCAAACCCATGAAAGGGAAGGAAACATACAAGTTTAAAAAAATCATATTTTGAAGATGAATATGGGGCAGTTTTAAAATGTTTGCAACGAAACTGCATGTCCCACAGTCCAAAAAAACCAAAAGTGGACTGTGTAATAAAAATAATTACATTAAAACAATTACAAAAACCCCCAAAGAGACACTGAAATAGAATTTGGAGTGTTTGCACAGAAATGGGTTACAATAGACATAAGGAATTGACCTTTCCTTGTGTTTCTTGGAATAAAAACTTGCATTTAGTATCAAAAGTCTGTCAGCAAGCATTGTGCTATCCCTTCTGGCCAGTACATACCAGGAAATGTCTTGTTTAGGTGGAAATTTCAAGAGATTTCACTGCAATGTAAATAAACAAAGAGAAAGCATCGCTGAAAAATGTGATATTGTTATCTAGAACTCCGCGATGCAGAGATAGATTTGCAGTTGAATAGCTCGATATGTTTCAGGCTAACAGCCGAAGATGTAGATTGAAAACTTCTGGACAGCTGTGAACTGTGTTATGATGGAATTCATACCGCATGCATTCGCAATGACACGTGAGTCAGATTTAGTTTTTAAAAACTAAAATTCCGTTAAAAACAGAACCATTCTAAAACTGATTCACATCAGGAAACAATTCATAAATCATACTTACGGTGTAAGTAGCTGTTAAAATGATATAAGATTCATTTTACTAAATAAATTCGATTCAATTTGTGTCGGGTGTGTTAAAAATCAAGTATATTAGCAATGGTTTTGTCCCCCCCTTTACGAAATCGGAATTAGGTAACATGAATGTTTCTTACCTGTTTCTTTGGAGAAACTTTAGCAATTCAGTATTTAAATGTATGTATTCGCTCGGGCGTGCCTGATTTTAAATGGTAATTTACAGTGATATTATAAGACATTATTTTCGTCATTCATTGTGATTAAATAAGCTATCTCACTCGACTAGTGTTTAACTCTCGACACAAGAGCACGAAAATAAAGCAAGGAGTACACATTTGATGGTACAATAGGGGAAGTTTTGCAAATGGATAAATATTATCCATGCGTTCCAAAGGAGACCGGGATATTTGGGAGCTGGGGCGGCGGTTTCGCTTTTCGAAGGAAATGTCCAGTCGGTTCTTGTCTTTGATCGAAGTTAGCAGCGCCTCCCATTTATGCAAGATGCCTGCGGGACATAAACCTGCCCGTGGAATAACAGCAGGCTGGTCCTACGTTTGTCCCCATTGGGGAAGGTTTAGCCGCGTCTAGCCGATCGGGAATGTTTAGCTCTGCGCTGGCTGCCGCGGGTCAGCAACTCGGTGGTTTGAAGTCACCCCCCGTGCTAGCGCTGTTAGCCCAAGGGGGACTCGCAGCTCGGCAGCCGGTCACAAGGCTGCGCTGGCTGAAGATTGGATTCGCTCCGCAGCGCAGCCCGTAAGAGACTCGCGCTAGAAGCGGGTTTGCGGGGAATCCGAGACGGTTCTTGCCCAGCCAGTGTAAACGCACCTTGCACCCGGGCCCTTCACATCTCCCCTGGCTCCAGCACTAGCCGGGGCTGTGGGGGGTCACTGGGGGCTGGGACAAGCTTTTTAAGCGAGGGGTCTTCGAGAGCCTCTGCCCTGCTTCTTGGGCGGAGGAGCCGGGTCCCTTCGACTCCGCAGGCAAACCCAGAAGCACTGACTAGATCGCGGCCCCCAAAGTCACTTCGCCCGGCGGGGGAGGGGAGAGAGCAGGCCTATATTAGATGCGGAGTGGCGCAAATATCCCCATCTTCAATGACGTCCACCTCGTCTTCGTTCTCCTCCAGCAGGAAAGCGGGCTGCTGGCCGGCCTTGCGGGGCTCCGCGGGGGCTGGCTCGGTCAGGTCAGGCTCGCTCGAGCTCTGCTCCAGGCCTTCCTCTCCGCTGGGGTTCTTCGGGTCGTCCTGGGTCTTCCTCAGTTGCTTTTTGTGCTTCATTCTCCTGTTCTGGAACCACGTTTTCACCTGCGAGAGGAAGGGGAGGGAAGCCCAGCGCCCAGGGCCCGAGCACCTGTCATTAGCATGTGCCCAGCGCCCCGGGCCTGAGCCCCTGTCATTAGCATGTGCCCAGCGCCCCGGGCCTGAGCCCCTGTCATTAGCATGTGCCCAGCGCCCCGGGCCTGAGCCCCTGTCATTAGCATGTGCCCAGCGCCCCGGGCCTGAGCCCCTGTCATTAGCATGTGCCCAGCGCCCCGGGCCTGAGCCCCTGTCATTAGCATGTGCCCAGCGCCCCGGGCCTGAGCCCCTGTCATTAGCATGTGCCCAGCGCCCCGGGCCTGAGCCCCTGTCATTAGCATGTGCCCAGCGCCCCGGGCCTGAGCCCCTGTCATTAGCATGTGCCCAGCGCCCCGGGCCTGAGCCCCTGTCATTAGCATGTGCCCAGCGCCCCGGGCCTGAGCCCCTGTCATTAGCATGTGCCCAGCGCCCCGGGCCTGAGCCCCTGTCATTAGCATGTGCCCAGCGCCCCGGGCCTGAGCCCCTGTCATTAGCATGTGCCCAGCGCCCCGGGCCTGAGCCCCTGTCATTAGCATGTGCCCAGCGCCCCGGGCCTGAGCCCCTGTCATTAGCATGTGCCCAGCGCCCCGGGCCTGAGCCCCTGTCATTAGCATGTGCCCAGCGCCCCGGGCCTGAGCCCCTGTCATTAGCATGTGCCCAGCGCCCCGGGCCTGAGCCCCTGTCATTAGCATGTGCCCAGCGCCCCGGGCCTGAGCCCCTGTCATTAGCATGTGCCCAGCGCCCCGGGCCTGAGCCCCTGTCATTAGCATGTGCCCAGCGCCCCGGGCCTGAGCCCCTGTCATTAGCATGTGCCCAGCGCCCCGGGCCTGAGCCCCTGTCATTAGCATGTGCCCAGCGCCCCGGGCCTGAGCCCCTGTCATTAGCATGTGCCCAGCGCCCCGGGCCTGAGCCCCTGTCATTAGCATGTGCCCAGCGCCCCGGGCCTGAGCCCCTGTCATTAGCATGTGCCCAGCGCCCCGGGCCTGAGCCCCTGTCATTAGCATGTGCCCAGCGCCCCGGGCCTGAGCCCCTGTCATTAGCATGTGCCCAGCGCCTCGAGCCCGAGCACCTGTCATTAGCATGTGACCTGCTCTACACGTGGAACCCAGCCCCGGGAATTGCATGTCACTTCCAGGCCCCCGGGAGCAGAGCGGCGCCCCTTTCCCAGTGCCCTCCCCCGCCGGTACCTGCGTCTCGGAGAGGCTGAGGGCTGCGGCCAGCTCCACGCGCTCGGGGGTGGACAGGTAGCGCTGCATCTCGAACCTCTTCTCCAGGCCGGAGAGCTGCGAGTCGGAGAAGACGGTGCGGGCTTTGCGGCGGGGGGCGCGGTGGCC